ATGAAGTGAGCAGTGAGTGAGAAATGAAGTGAGCAGCGAGTGAGAAATGAAGTGAGCAGCGAGTGAGAAATGAAGTGAGCAGCGAGTGAGAAATGAAGTGAGCAGCGAGTGAGAAATGAAGTGAGCAGCGAGTGAGAAATGAAGTGAGCAGCGAGTGAGAAATGAAGTGAGCAGTGAGTGAGAAGTGCAATGAGCAGCGAGTGAGAAGTGCAATGAGCAGTGAGTGAGAAGTGCAATGAGCAGTGAGTGAGAAGTGCAATGAGCAGTGAGTGAGAAATAAAGTGAGCAGTGAGTGAGAAAAGAAGCGAGCAGTGAGTGAGAAATGAAGTGAGCAGTGAGTGAGAAATGAAGTGAGCAGTGAGTGAGAAGTGCGAAGACCTCTTTCAAGGGATTTTTGTCGTTCAACAGATGAACGGCTGTTGAAACAATTCAACTTCAACATCATACAACGTGACTGAAGAGGGCATCCGACGTGCCTGGTGACGTCATCCGACGTAATTGACGACACCACTTTATACTCTGTGAATGAGTACAATTAGAGTTCACGATGATGTTGGCTGGGTTCAAGTCATCTTTCTCCTTGCCACATCCGACTTTTATTCACGACTCAGATGTTGTGTCTGAGTCAATACTGAACTCGATTCATCTGAGTCAAAAACAGCACGAAGAGCATGCGCGTCCAGAGTCATCTCACTTCCTTGCAATTAACGATAAATTACTAATTGGATCGAATCTTAACCTAAACAAGAAACCTTTCATTCTGAGTGAACCGAAGGAATTTATGAATAGACCAAAATTTGATGATCATAAACAGCAAGTGAAGGATCAAAATTTTTTCGAGCAGACGCAAGAAGTGACTCGCAAAGCTAAGGAGGAGTCTGATTGTGAATCTGATAATGAATCTCCAAACGCCTTCCATCCGAGCCTCAAAGAAAATTCGTACTACGATCGAGACCGGAAAAAATTCGAACTGGCATGGGGAAATTTGAAGCAGGATTCCATCCTGTGGAAAAATTTCCGACCAGAGCAGCACAGGCACCTTGGCGCCGAGCTCGGAGGGAAGTTCGGGAAAACTGATGTAATCAAAACAAATTCCGAGAAGAAGAATAACTATGGGATCGCTGAATTCGACGATATTTCGAAGAAGAAAAATTTTCGTATAAATTATAGACCGCGAAATCAAAGTGAAAGTAAACACGACTCTAAACAAGTCATTGAATTGGAAAACATACCGCTTCGTTCGAAGGAAAAGGTTTTGCCGCGTTTAAGTACAATTCCCAGTAAGAAAGTTGCATTTGAAAATGTGGACCCAGGCGCCCAACAGAAACGAGGGTTAAGCACTAACCGAACTTTGACAAGCACTGACGTGAAGAAGGCGAAAACGGTCTTTGGCAATAACAAATCTGAAAACCAGGAGCGTGGCAGCGAACAGGAAAGTTTTGGAAATTACGAACAAGTATCACGACCTCAAACTGGATTGTTATCAAGCGTAGCTTACATGCCTCACAAATATTTTCTTAGTTCAAATGAAACTAAAAAGATTCAGCGAACAAGATTACCAATAAGTTCCAACTCGTCCAGAACTCAAAGCCGCCCCAAACACAAAACTATTGGACTCAATCACCTCGCACGTCATGGTTCACAAGATCCGTCTCACCACCCAAGAGATCGGGTGTCTCACCACTCTAGAAGCATAATTTCTCACCACCCAGGGCACCAGTCGTCTCACTACACTGGATTTCACCGTTCAGGAGACCTAATGTCTCAACACTCGACGAACCGACACGGCGGGCCACTGAGACGAGTCTCTCAACTCAGATATCCCATGGTTATCTTCACACCCGACCAAGTGCTGACGCTAGGGGTGGTCGCGGCCACGGTCCTCTACATGGTATTTGTAGTAGCCATCCAAGCTGCAGGATGATCCAACGATCTGGACAGGGGCGTAACTAAGTTTTAAGGACATGGGGGGGTGTCTACGTCCCCTAAGATTTTTCATCATATTTAATTAATACTGACTGGTTGTTATGAATTTGTCAGCATTTTGTAGTTTTCGGTGGCAAAAAATAATAATCATTGTGATAAATTAATTAAGGGGGCTTGTGGAATTTTGTGAAATTTGTCAGCGGGATTGCTGAATCCCGCTGAAAATAGTCTAAATGACGCTACTGGATCTGGATGATTGATCGATCAGGATCATATACTGGAACTAGGATGTCTAACAACGCGAATTTTTTCAATCTCAAAGCTCTTATTCTCTTTACCGTTAATTTCTGTCATGGACTTGATAGATATTCAATTTGAATTGCAAGGTAAGCATGGAAGAAGCCGCCATGTTGGTCCAAGAGTTGTAGAGTAATTTTTATTGAAACAAATTTAAGTCGTTTGCGATGAATATATCATCGTTTAGGGTTTGTATGCACTATATACTCTTGCACGTAATATTGATCTCGTGTCTACCGGGACTTCTACAATTCACAATCTGCAAATATATTCGTGAGGTGTCAGTTTGAGTTGCGTGTTTTCAAGCGATCAATTATTCTAAACCTACATCTTGTGGAACGACTGAATATCGAAAATGATCCTAAGCTACGCGCAAAACATTCAGGTGGAGTTAAATTCAGACTTAAAAACATTCAATGCTTCTAAAAACTTATTTTATTTATTGATTCGTTGTAAGGTCTAACCAGCTACTATGACCACATATCATCATATTGAGTATAGACGAGCGTTGGCACGAGGTTTTCTAGCAGAAGCTCATCAGAAAAATAAGAGTAAATTAAAACTATCCATTTACTGTAGTACAGCAGCTGAGACGCAGAATTAGATAGGAGACAAAAAACGTCAATTAAGAAGAGAAATATTATCGTGAGATGCACTGGCCTATTGCATACGTACGTTTGAATTAAACTCGGCTCGTTTTCCTACTAATTTTCATTCAAATTGCGCAAATATACTTTCCGTCATATCTACAAGTTATTATTATCAGTTTCAAGAATCCCTTTATAACATATCACAGAGAAGATACCAGTTCTTGGTTGTAGCTGAATTGTTTTCGCCCGAGTTGCGTTGTTGACTTGCGTTACTCTCAGGTTAAACTAACGGGTTCTAATACCTGAAGTAGCACAAAATGTGGCTGCATGTTCCCCTATTTTGAAGGGGCGCATGCCGGATGCCAGCTTTGCCATACTTCACACTTAGTTCATATTCTTTTCCATAGGTAAGAAGGCCAGAGTGCAGAACGGCCTATGAAGTCAAGTGCTCAAAGCCATAGCGCCGGATGTCCACAGTCACAAAATAAGCTTGCCAAAGGTAAACATGGTCATGCTGTACCTGGCCAAATCTCATTTGGTCTAACCTATTCTGCTCTTCAGGCCTAGCCTATACGAGTTGCAACCTCACTCCATCCAAAGCAAACCTGAGCGGCCCTAACCTAACCTCATTGGCTGCAAGAAGTTAGAAAGGCGGTCCAAGTGTGCGGTTAGAGCCAGTCATTGTCTGCAAGAAGGCTGTGAGCCGGGACAGCGTGAATAGGTTAGGCCAGAAGAGGTTATACCGGAGTAGGTACAGCCGTATGGGGAACTGCCTGCTTATGAGGGGGCATGCTTAAGCAGTGGCTGAAGACCTATGGCGCTATTATCTTCCGGCAGCGTGTCGCTTGTCTGGATTACGGAGTTCAAGCGGCTTCTAGTTCTGAGGCTGAGTAAAGTTAATGCATGATGCAGCTAGGCGTTGACTCCAGGGCTTATTTGGGAGTAAAATTTGTGGCCTACGGCTGCGCCCCCATTTTGAACACATTCAAGATAGGTAGTGCCATGCGCTTGTCGCAACATTCAATCATTTCTCCTCGGCTGTGAGTGAGGCGAAGTCATCACATGCCGAACGTGGTAGAGAGTTAAATCTCCGCTGACTTTATCACGTTTAAAAAGAAAGCTGACTTTCGAAATTCTATAAAATTTGAATTTCAAGTAGCTTATTTCCATAATCTGATAAAATGCTTCAATACACATGGATGGTCTGGTTAGTTCTTTTCAAGAGTTTGCATCGATTGTTCATGGTGATAAGACGTGTTGTGCCGAAGTGTTGAAAAGCAAGTGCGAAAAAAAAAAAATCAGAACCAATCGAAATATCTTTTGCTTGTAAATTCATAGAACCTAGTGTGCCAAGTGTAGAAACAAGAAGTACAGGGTGACACAAAAAAAACAGAGCTCACTAAAAGTCTTATAACTCCTGAAATTTTATTCAGTTTGAAACAAAAATTCTATGGAATTATGTACAACCTATGTAGCCAACATCTGCAAAATCTCAATTCTATACCACAAAAACTCTTTGTTCTACAGCCGCTCAAAGATCTGTCTCTTATACACATCTAGATGTGTATAAGAGACAGTTGCAAGACTCCGCCTTGGCACAGCTCCGCTGAACAAGGCCCTCTACCAAATCCGCCAAGCCCCCTCTCCGCTGTGCCCCTCATGCAACACCCCAGAAACCTCGCATCATTATCTCATCTCTTGCATGGAGTTTGAAGAAGACCGTGCGCAACTGCGTCGCCAAGTAAACTCGCATGGAGTTCATACACTCTGCACTGCTTCACTGCTGGGAGGAGACACCTCCAACTGCCCTGCCTGGCCGCACATCTGCAAAGCGGTTGAAGAATTCATCGGCAAAACTCGTCGATTCCAGCCCTGAGACTTAATAAATAAGCAGATTACGGCGAGAATCGCCTCTGGTGGAACACGCCGTCAACTAGTAGAAGATCAAGATCAATACACATGGATCTTAGCTTCTCTGGGGCCCTCGAGTCTAAGAATAGTGCAATCTACATAAAAACGTCAAATTTTTAAGTAGTTTACTGTTCTACGTTTTTACTTACTTCACGATTTGAGAAGTCGTTAATTACATTTTATTCCCATAGCTTTCTACGATTCGTGAGACAAATTTACATTCTTTTGATGTGACCACGTATGACTGTCAATGTTTTGCTCGTGACGTCACAAAAATGAAAATGATAGACTAATCATGGCTGAAGATTTCCTGGACCTAAATCCTAAAAAGAAAGTACTCCATGAACATTTACTAAAATATTTGATTATTATCTCTGCATTAAATATAATTTATAGCCTTGCTATTTCTAATTGTGGTGCTACAGAATGTGTTCATGGCCAGTGTTATGAAGGCAAATGCGAGTGCGAAAGAGGATGGGGTGGTCGAGCTTGCAATACATGCAGTGGTAGGCAAAGGTGAGCACTAAATACGCTCTCAATACTGATTTTTACAGTTTCTAAAGCTAGTTTTTTTTTGTATTTGATTCATTGCATTTTATGCATATGTACATTATTCAAGTACCTTAAACTTAAAGTCCTTAAGGATTAAGGAATAGTGGCAACAGGCAAACTGGCAAAGCAGAAATTTTAGAATCAGTTCATTTTTAATTTCCTTACCTACTTTACTAACTCTAGATTTAAATCAAAAATTTATGTATGATAATGCTGATATAAATGATAGGTACTTTGCTGGACTACTAATATGACTCAAAATGAACTTAAGGAAGAGTCTAAAAGTCTTTGCTTTACCACTATGCAGCATTGCAGCTTTTGCACTTTTGGCAAGTGACAGGATTGAATTCTGGAAATTATGGTAAATATATTATGTTTGATCAACCTTGGCTGGTTTTTTGATATTAGTTGAGATAGAGACTAAGAAAAATAAGAGAAATTAAAGTTCCACTTGAAAGAATGAAAGTAGGCCTAACAACAATCCAGGGTGCAGAGGGTGGATGCAGTGTTGCCAATATATGGGTTTTTAAGCCCTAAGTGTAGCCGGGTAATTTTAAGATTCGTCGCTGGGTAATTTTTAAATGAAAAGCCATTTACGCAGTTACGCTTAGTAATGAAAAAACTATTTACAAGCCACAAACTTATTTACAAGGTTGCATGCACATGTTACCTCAAATAACTAATTTTACCCTAAAAACAGTCTGATTGTACAGCAAGTGTCAACTGAACAAGTGATAATGAAGTCTGACCGGCCCATAGTGGCAAAGCAGAGAGTTTTTTAGACTCTCCTTCAAGTTCAATTTCAAGTCCTATAAGTAGACCGGAAAAGTATCATGGATACCAGCATCATCATGCACAAGATATTGGCTTTAATGGCTCAAATCTTGGGTAATGAGAAAATTAAAAATGAACTGATTCTAAAAAATCACTGGTTTGCCACTATGCTGACTGCCATAGTGATAGTGGATTAGTGGCAAAGCAGGGAGTTTTTTAGACACTCCCTCAAGTTCATTTTTGAGTCCTATAAGTAGACCAGTAAAGTATCCTGGATACCAGCTTCATCATACATAAGAAATTGGTTTAAATCTTGGGTAAATGAGGAAATTAAAAATGAACTGATTCTAAAAAATCTCTGCCTCTGGTTTGTCACTATGCTGACCGCTCTAATGTGACCGCAACTACGTAATCGTAAGCTTGATGTTTACATTTTTTTGGCGGGAACTCATTGCAACTGATTTCCGGACAAGCTTCGCTGCATCCTGATCCATCCAACATATCGGAAACCTTACTTTTTTTTAAATAGTTGGCCAAAGCCTGACAAATATATTAAATGCAAGAATTTCAATCTAAATGTGTCAGCAAGATCTTCTGAAAGCATAAATTTTGCTACTGAAGCGTCGCCAAAGGTCTTGCAATATTCATCCACTCTCTGTACAGTGGACAACAATTAGGTAGGCTACAGATTTCAATTAGACTAGGTAGGTATGGAATAATTATAAATTGATAATTATTTGAAAATTTGTTTCTAAGTTGAACAGGACAAAATAACCTTCACAAAGTAATGACAAATCACGCCAGTGACGTCACCAATATGAGTTCAAACTTTGAACTTCAAAGCCATGCACACCAGACAGGCAGACACCACAGAGGCTGTTTGAGGGAGCAAAATCATGTAAATCTGAATACAATGAAAGCAGGCAGCCAGATATGCAACTAAATGGTATATGGATGCAGGATTCCATCATTCCTGTTGCCAATTCAGTAGTGCATTTCAGTCAGCTTTTGCAAAGTGTTTTATACTAAAAACATTACTTGTAAATTTAATCAGAATTATTTGCTGAAATAATTAATAACTAAGTGAGAAGAGCTGATTCAAGAAGCCTCATCTCTTTGTTTAGAGTTGTAATGACCAAAAATGATCATTTTAAATAATGGTAAATATATATTCAGTTTAAGTTAATTAGCATTTTCACAAGTTTAATGAAGATTTTAAATATTCTATAACTTTTAAATCATGAAACAAATTTTCAAAAAACAACAATCATCATGAAATTTATAATGATCCTACTCCTATAGCTAAATATTTTACATTCAACTATTTTGTCATTTTGAGAATTCACCCCAATTGGCAATAACTACAGAAGTATATTTTTCATGAGTGTATGCATGGAATGTTTATGAAATAGTGGCATTTTTATTCCTATGGATAATTGGGATTCAAAAATTACCTAATGAATCCATTTATTGTCATTTAATTCAGAATCCATGTATAAAAACTCTACCTTTATCTAACCAAACCAAGAGATGAGTGTACCCACAAATTTATTGTATTATTTTACCAATGATTGGTCAATATAACCTCTACAAACAATAAGTATCAAAATGGAATTAAATTACCATATGTAATTTTTACTTGTTTATGTGCTGTTATTATAAATTTTAAAACAGTTTAATAATTAATTTTTGCATTGTGTACCTGAATTCATTCAGGTACACAAAAAAAAAATTTGTATAAAGATGAGTAAAAAGAGGTGGTTAAGCTTTGAAACAGCTTTCATCATTAAATTTAATCTCATTGTGGATCAAATCTATTTAGTATTGTAAATTTGAATTATATAAATTGCCCAAACAGGGAGTGTGATATCTCCCCTTGTCTGCACTGCTTAATGAAGTGCCAAATGCAATAAATTATAAAGTGATCAGAGATTATCTCATCATTTATGTGGTATCGCAAACATTGTTAGTATTATTGAAATTGTGAGACTTTTCTTTAATAGTTGACATACCTTTTTTATGTTAAAAGACAATAATTGTGAAAATTAAAAAAAAATTTGTACTACAGACCTTAGCAGAAATACTTTTCCAAAATATAATTTGTAAAAAATTTTTTCAGGGATTTTTTAGAGGTAGTAAATGCATGATTTTCTATCTTACTTAATGCTAAATAGATAGAAAAAATGTTTCAGTTTAAGCCATTATTTTTAGTTTGGATATATTTCAATTAGTTTTGCTGCTATAACATTTTTATGCCATGACAGATGACTGTCCCGATTTACACTGCCAGTCCCTTATTACCCCATTGGATGGTATAAACACGACAATATACCTACTACGTACCTATCCCGATTTCCACACTGCCTTGAGGTCTCTTTTTAAATCAGTTAATGGAGCCTGAACACCCAAAAAGACTTGTTTACTGTCAATCACTCGGTAGGTATAGTCAGATGGGGTAAGACAGGACCGACATCACTAACAAGCCTGTAGCATCTATACCATGAATAACTAAAAAACCCTAAACCTATCACAAGGTGCAGTTATGCAATGGGCTTCTAAACTACAACTCAGACATTTTGCATCTAACATAGTTTTCTGTACAGATTAAAAAAAGTAAGTTAAAAAGGGACCAGGCTGGGGTAAGACAGGACCAACTGGTAATTCTTATGTTACAAGGTTTTTAATAAAAGTGCAATTCTGATATTCAATATTATCCATCTAGAAACACATTATTTGATTAAACAACCACTTGTTACTGTTTTGTGTTGTGGGAAGTCAACTCTAATATCAGTCACATTTGAGCTTTTGTCACGAGAAAACTTTGTTGACATTAAATGCAGCCATATGATCCATTTAGTCTTTTGAGCAAAAAATATGGATGACATTATATAGCTGGCATAGTTAATTATCATTTTATACTTTACTTTTGCTAGCAATAATAAGAAGTCCAAGAAACTTGCAAGAAACTCCAGTATTTTAGCAATAATGCCTTATTCGAGATTGAAATTTTCAAAGAAATTTGGTGAGAGTGAGCAAAAGATGAAAATTTTGACCAAAATACTCCAGTTACTGCATAATAATATATTCATTTAAAAACTATTTTTGATATACTGTAGGCCATAGGGTAATAGAGGACCATTTGTGGGGTAAGACTGGATCATATGTGGTGTAAGATGGACCGTTTGTGAGGTAAAACAGGATCATTTATTGGTTCCATCTTACCCCATGTCCGGTCCTTTTTTACCCCCATTTTAGAATACATGTCAGGCAGTGATGGTAGCAGGTAGGAATGCCAAGTATGTCTCAAAAGTTGCTTATTACTTGAGGTTACCTGCCTACATCCACAAACCTGGCCAAAAAATTTTTTGTCATTAGACAGAGCTTATTTCCTAAACAGGGTTAACTATTTTGTGACCCATCTTCACATAGGTTTTCTTTAAAAATTAGCAAGAAATTCAATATTTGCAGAAGAGAGTTGAAACAAACACTGAAGTGACAGGCAATGATTGCTCTAACATATTCTTTTGTCAAATTAAATTTAGTGCAATTAGAATGCACACCATGGGCTGGTCCTTTCTTACCCCATGAAGGCTGCGATCCTGTCTTACCCCATTTGACTATAATACACAAGTTACCGGGCACCATATGGCAGATGGCAGAACTTGATGCTTGTCAAAAACACACCTACCTATGTAATGTTTGTCGGAACAACACTTTTGAGGAATTTGATTGCATATAATTGTCATTAACTACAAATCTTATAAAAAATTGGGCGGAAGCCACCTGTGAATTGGATGAAAAAATCTGAATCTTCCCAATTTTTTCTGTTTTTATGTTCGAGAGAAAAATGGCTAATTTTTTGCCTGCAATTCCTAAATTCACATGTGAAATGATTGCTTTTATGCTATTTTAGGAAACTTTTGACCAATATTCAAAATTGGATTCCAAAGCATTTTTGATCATGTTAGAAACTAAAAAATTCTCTAATCTTTGATTTAGCTTTGGTTTTGAAATAAATTATTTTGAAACCAAAATTATTACTATTCTTTAGCTATTGAAGACTAAGAACATATGTGCTATTGTTTTTGTGTGGCATTAAGAAAATATTAGTATTATACACTTTATTATCACTATTATACAAAGCAGTTATGGCATCAGGTTCAGACAAACTTTGTGGGCATGTTATGTAC